CCCCTTGGAGAACATGAGTAGAGGAGCCCGGGGGGCTCAGCCGGAGCACACAGGGGCCAAATCCAAATCCAGTCCCGCAGAACGTGTGCGCCCATCGCCACGCGCTCGTGGATGCAGCAACCCCAGGCGATGGGGTGCTGCGTGTGCCGGAGCTGCACCCGGTGCTGCCATCCCTCACCGTTAGCCCCCGGCATTGGGGGTGCATCAGCTTGCACCCCTGTTATCCGGGGTCCTCCGATTTGGGGGCACCGCTGCCCTTTGCTCCAGGCAGCTGGAGATGGGGATGGGGAAGAGGCTGGTGCACAGAGGGGATGGGCTGAGCTGGCTCCCCCCTCCCGCGGGCATTGGATTGGACTCTTGTAAGTCACAAGAGTCGGGGGGGGGGGGGGGTCCCCCCCTCATGTCACCTGCTGCCGGGGCATGGCTTGTGCGGCATGGCGAGATGCAGCCGGCACCAGGGAGGTCCTGGGCGAGAGGGGAGGGAGCTGCGGGGCTTTGCCCCTTCGAAACATTTGCCGGCAAAGGGCGTTGCCTGGACTGGCTCGCTGCCACGGTGCAGACCACGGGGAAGGAGCTGGCTGGGGCCAGCGGCGCCCTGGCTTTGCCGGGACATCTTGCTTTCCCCCATCCCTCCTCTTGGGATGCTGCTTGGTGCAGGGAGGGGTGCAGCTCACGGCCAGTGCCCTGAAGGATGCTCCGATGCAGGGGGGAGCCCAGCACAGCCTAAGTGAGACTGGGGTGTTGGGGCACCCACCTTCACCCACCGCGGAGAGGTGCCTGCCTGCTGTGCCGTGCCGTGCCGTGCCGTGCCGGCAGTGGGACGTTTGGGGATGTGGTCGGGGCAGAAAGAGACACCGGCAGAGTGGGGCTGGGGCCACTGGTGCCGTGGCCGTGGTGCCGAGGAGGGGTGTGACGTGGGTGTCCCCGTGGGGGACGTCTGGTCTCTCGAGACCCCATCACAATGTGCCAGCGCTGGCCCCAGCGCCAAAGGCAACTGGCACCGTCTCTGGGGGCCGCCGCCGCCACCGCAGGGACAGGCCTCCTGCATCCCCTCCCCTCTACCCGTGGGCCTCTGCCATGGGCGATGGGCACTTTCCTCTGCTCTGTCCTGGGCTTCACCCTTGTCCTTGGCAAGCCCAGACCTGGGCTGAGCCATCACCACATCCCTACGGCTTCTCCTCCCTGCCTGCCGGGGGGACGAAACCCATCCCGGCATCGGTGTGGGCTACAGCGGGTGGGGACGGGTGGCGAAGGGTCTGGCAGCCCCCAACCCGCTGCCGGGTCCCTCTCCCCGCAGAGCCACAAGCCGGAGAAGGAGTGGCCTGTCAGGAACCTGAAGGTCTACCTGGGCATTAAGAAAAAGCTTCGGCCCCCGACGTGGTGAGAGGCAACGCGGTGCCCTGCGGCACGGGGACGTGCTGGGCCGGGGACAGGGCCGGGGATGGGGATGGGGACAGGGATGGGGACAGGGACAGTCTTGGCTGCTGGGACACGTTTCCTGCTGGCCGTGCCTCTTGCCACCAGATGTCAGAGCAGCCTCGCAGGACGCTTCTGCAGCCTGGTGCCAGCACATGGGCCTGGATCCGTCCTGGTCCCCTGGCCCCTGGCCCGCAGTGAGGGGCTGCGGGGCTGGGCTGCGGGGGGGGGGGGGGGGCGGGGGG